CCAAGTTCCAAAGCAATAGTTTAGAACATTGAAACTAAGTCTGGCAAAATGCCTCTCATTGCACTATTGCCAAATAACCCTCTGCACATGGTATGGAGAGTTTAGGAATGTGGGTAAAACACAGTGTGGAGACTTAAGGTAGATTCTGAAACGATAGCATGGAGGGGGAATATATTGGTAATTGAGATTTTTAAGTGCTCTTTTGTAATAATAATTTTAAATTCTGCAGCACCCCCTGAAAAAGATATGAACAATTAAGTGATCAAAATAGATAATATCATAAAATGACTGGTTTTAGAAATAAGTACAATAATAGGCTCCCTAGGAAATACAATTTGAACTGAGGGGGTTACATATGGAAATATTAATAGTGAATCCATCTTCCAGCATTTTCTTCTAATTTCTACCTTTTAGAACCTATGTAAGTAATTTATACACCTCATGTCACAAGTCTTTCATATAGAAAACTGGGGTAGTAATAATTCCTGTATCATAGAGCTATTTAGTGGAATGGTAGCATAAGATGTTATTAATAAATAAAATGTATCAAACTTTTACTAGATGTTAGGTACTGTGCTTAGGGCTTCATATGGGTTAGTTCATTTATTGCTTACAGCAACATTATGAAGATGGCAACTAATATTAAGCCCACCTTCAGTCAAAAAAATAGAGAAACAAATTATTTAATTGACCTGATTAAGGCCACTCAGCTAGCAAGTAGTAGAATTTCAATTCAAAGCCAGTTTTACTCTTGAAATTTGGCCTTTATACATTTATTGTTTCATATTTTATCCTCTTTTCAATAGCAATCCTCCCAAAAGAAAAACATTATCATCTTGTAATTTAATAGGATTTACTATGATTCCAAAGGTTAGATAATGAGGTAAAAGGACCAGGAATGGAGAAAAAGCATGAAGTCATAAAAGATGAGACTATGCCAGTTCCAACATATCACCATCATCACCAAATCCTCTCTCCAATGCTTGTTCTGTGATAATGGATTAGAGCACTATTAAGTATTTCTCTTTTGCCACCTGGTATGATGATTTCATTAGAGAGCAATGAAGGGACACTGGAGAAGAAATGAATTTCTCTTCATGTCCACTGTGTTCCTCTCCCAGACTCTAAAAGTTCAGTTTTTCCAGTTTGAGATTCTGATAACAATAAGCTCCTTCAGTGGCTTCTCCAGCTCAGACTCCTGCATGTATGACTTCTCCAGAACCCACAGCCAGCACTGCCTCCTTTCTCCCACCACCCCATGAATAACTTTCCATAATATCCCCCAATGCAAGCAGAGAGCCACCTGTGTTACTCCTGTCTGTAAATAGCCTCCCCTGTGCCCCTCTGATGGCTTTGCAGTGAGTTCTGAGATACAGCACCTCCTTGTGGAATGGCACCATCATGGTCTTTTTCTAGCACATTTCTACCTATAGTAGCCCTGGTATCTTGCATCCAAATGTAAATTATTGCTACAAGGCAAAGTGAAGAGTCAAAGGCACACAGCTGACTGCACACAAGTTCCCACATCAATGCTGCCTTCAGCCTTTCCCCATTATAATGCATCCACTACACAGTTCCCAAAAAATCATGTTCTCTCCTGTTTCAAACATTTCAATAGATTTTTTTTTCTATGTAGGATATGATATGCAGTAACAAGTCATCATTCTCACTGTACCAATAGAAAAGAAAGAAGACAAGTAGATTACAAATTATATTTGTAAGCAAAAATGACCACATATCCACAAATTCTAAACATGATAGAGCCATTTCTAAGAATCTTACGCAGCTGAAATTGCCAAATATTCTTTCCTCTGAGGATCTATCATATTTGAGTATTGCTAAGAAACAGACTTGCACTACATGCAGAGACTCTTCTATGGGAAAGTAAAATCCAAAAAGTTTTGACAATTTTTTGGGTTGATGTGATGTATTGGAATCTAGTGAAACCCCATAACTTTGGCCAATTCTGCCTATAGAACATTCTCCGGGTGCTGGTGCTGGGAGACTGTGGATTAGACTGGATATGCAAAGTCTGTTTGATGCAGGCTGGAAGGACTTAGGAGACAATATACCAACAGAGTGAAGACTAAAACAGACATTTGCAATCAAAAATTATCTAGGTCTAGATAAAGCTATAACTCAGCACTGACCTTCCTCAATTCTTATTTTGATTAAGGTGATCATGCAGCCACTAAGGAAACAGTGCACTGTTTCTGGAAGAAAATAACATTAATTTCAATATCTATATATCCTTTATGATTTCTGTCATACATTTTAAAATTTTGTAAGGCTTGCAAAGAAGTAGAAAGATGCACCCAATAGCTAAGAGAGCAAAATAGACATTAGAAACAGACCCAAAGATCATCCAGATATTGGTGTTAGCAGACCAGGAATTTAAAATTACTATTATAAACATGTTAAAGAAAAAAAGTGAGGTGCAGTAATGCACACCTGTGGCCTCAGCTATGTGGAAGTCTGAGGCACAAGGATAGGTTAAGTCCAGGAGGTTCGAAGCCACCCTAGCCAATGCAGTGAGATCCCATTTCAAAGAATAAAAAAGGAAAAGAAAAGAAAAGAGGGAAGAAGAGAAAAGGAAGAGAAATGAATAAAACCTAGGTAATTTCCCTGAAGAAATGGAATCTATATAAAGGAGATTTAAATAGCACACTAGAAATATGTGTGTGTATTTGTATAATTTCACACTTATATGAAATCTGAAGTTGAGTACTGGCTAAGTGGATTTAAATGCAGACTGGAAAAAGACAGGATAAGTAAACTCAAACAAAAGTCAATATAAGATATTCAATCTGAAGCCCAGACAAGAAAACAAAATAGAAAGAAGATAGGAGCATAGAAACATTTGTGATATAATTAAATGGTCTACTGTAGATGTGATCACAATCCTAAAATAATGGGAGAGAACAGGAATGGGAAAGAAATAATATTTGAAATGGCTGAGAAGTGTTCACAATTGAAGAATGATGCATTCAAGAATTTCAACAAAACCTAAGCAGTATAAATTTGCAGACAACTGTATTTAGATCCATCACAGTACAACCTCTGAAAACCAAGGATAAAGAAAAAGATCTTAAAAGCAGCCAGAATAAGAAGAATCAATCATACTAAGAGTAGGATTTTAAATAGGAACTGTGGAAGCAAAGAAACATGTTATCTTTAAAGAGTAGGAAAAAAAAACTGCCATCTAGAGTTTTAAACCCAGTGAAAATATCCTTTCAAAGTCAAAAAGAAATAAATACATTTTTCAGACACATAAAGGCTGGGGAAATTATTGGTCAGTAGACCTATATTATAAGAAATACTGACGGAAACTGTTCAGGCTAAAGGAAATGATTGCTTCTCAGATGGAAGCCTGAAACCACAAAAATGAATAAAGAACACAGTAAACAGTGTTTTATCTCTAGGGCAATCATTAAAAGAAAAATATAAAGATATAAAAAGCAAAGAGGTCATAGAAGAGATACAATGAAGTAATTCAGAATAATTGATTAAAACTTTTCAACAGCTTCTCATTTATGATAAAATAAATGACAATGACCTTACTGTAGTACACTGGGCACTCAATGATCTGATGCCTCCACTTATCTGCCCTGATTCTCTTCATCTCCTTTCCAGATCTACACCATTTGGAATGACATGTAGCTCCCTTAGCATGCCATGTTACCCATACCCTTATATTTGCATATGCTATTCCTTCACCAGAAATATTATACCCCTGTTTTCTTACCTGGACAGTAACAGTTTAGCTTTTAATATATAGCTTAGTCATACTCTTGTTTCTTTGAAAAGCCATCTCTGAATTTCTATGAATTTTCTTAATACCCAGGGCTAATCTATACTCTAGCCCTTGCTATAGATCATAATTATTTGTTTACTTATCTATTTTCCCCAACTAGGCATTTTAAGATCTTTGAAGGCTGTGTCTCGATGTGTCATCTCTGTGTTGCCAACATCCAACATAGATATAAGCACATTCAATATCTACCTTAGGATGCACTAAGTACATAATGAGAAGACATTCAATATCTTAAAATGCTAAAGGATACATGAGCAAATATTATCTCAACATAAACTCTCTGATATTATGCAAGGTAGGCTATAATCTTGCTCCCATCCTCTAGCCCTTGATTTTTAAAAGGCACACCAGTGCCTTGAACTCAACACATTCTAAACCCATTCCATTTTACATCCACTTGTGTCAAACTCAGTTAATAACTCAACATCCGACATTGCCCATTGAACAAACTTGTAATCATTATTACTTCTGTCCCTTTTCATTCCTGATGTGTCTCTTCTTACTGAATTTCTTTGATTTTGACTTCCTGGTCTCCTTCCTCATCCTCTGAACTCCTACTCATACTTTAAATCCCAGCTCAGATAGAGCTGAATTCTTAAACTGAATTCTTTCTGAGGCCCCAGACAGAAGCAATCTGACTTCCTCTTGGTGCCTTTGCAAAATCTCTCCCATGGTATCACATGTCATATATTCTGTTATCATCAATAGTTTGCATCTTACAAGTTTGTGAAAATTTTAGAAGGCAGAACTATATTCACTTGCAGAGAATGCAGGTGACTAGAAATATTTTTTAATGGAGGAAAAAGAAGCAAAGCTAAAGAAAGAAAAATGAAACAAAAAAGCATGTTTTTTAAAACATCAGGGAAATATAACATGAAGAAATCTAGGTTAAAATCCTTTGTGAAGTCTTTTAAATATTTTAGATGTTTCCACCCAGCCATCACCTTTACCCCTGATCACACATACATCCTTTCTGCACCTCCTGCTGCAGAAAACGAAAGACTCCTCAAGTGAGCAGAGACTCACTGCTGAAGAATGGTATGTGCTTCTAGGTGTTATCTCTCTCTCTCTTACTCTCTCTCTCCTCTCTCTCTCTCTCTTCTTCTCTCTCTCTCTCTCTCCCCTCTCCCCCTCTCTGCTTGCACTGTAGCTTTTGAACACTCCCCATCATCTACTTATATATTACCTCAATTCTGACTTCTTGCTCCATCTTCATTTCCTCCTGTAAGCCTCTCCTGTATCTGGACTGTCCATATAGCCTTGAGCTGGTTCCCTGGATCTCTTTCTCCTGACTGGTCCCCAGATCCCCCCTGTCTGTAGCTCACAAGAACAAGATAAATACTTCTCATATGCATTCTTAAAGGTGGATCATCCTTGTGAATAATGATTGAATGATAGATTTTAAATGCACTAAAGGTTATTTAGAGTCCTGAAGTATATGGCTTCATGCTTTTAAGAGAAATAAGAAGAACCCATAAATAGATCACAGCAAGAAAATGATTATTTATTTAACAAAGAAGAATTCTAAGAAAAGATAAAGGAAACTGATAAGTAGACTGAAAACTATGGTGATGGGAAATGACAGCTGTTCCTTGCTCATAAGTGGAATTTCAAATAAAGACATGATGGCCAGCTGTTCTTCCTTTCCATAAGGGAACAATCAAAGAGGAGAAGTTGAAATTTCTCCAAGTGTAGACATAAGGAAACATCTTCCTACTGAAGGGGTTATTGTTGCTGAAGGATGATACTGAACTCTATGTCAAAGCATTTGAAAAATTTGGAAACCACAGATCTCAGATGTGTGCAGGGCAGCTCTGATCTTTTGCATGTTACAAGTTGAAAACTTGCATTTTCATTAATTATTTTAAATGAGCTCCCTTGCAGGGTCCATATGCTTTCTGTGTGCTTCCCCAAGAATCAGGTGTGCTACCTGTGTTCCCACAGGCTCTGCTCCTTTGTGGAGAAGATATATGTACAGCAAATATTCTTCAAATTCTTAGAAATTCAGAAGACTAGAATAGTCTGAAAAACAGAGCATCCTTTTTTTCTTCTTGTTTCCAAATCTTCAGAGATCATTTACTTAGATTTTCTAAGTTAAGTTTTCTGGTCTTCTCTTATTAGCCTAGCACCGCAGCTGGCTGCCTCTGAGACAATACACTTTAAGTGGCCTCTATTTATAGAGGCATGAAAAGAACAACACCAGATTGCCAGAGACTTCCAAGCAATCTGATGATGGCTCTTTCTCTAGTATTGGTTTTGAAAATTAAGATTTTTGGGGGGTGTGGGGGTGAGAGTTTTCTCATCCATAGATGCTTCATGATGCACATTTGTGGCATTCTGATTTCAGAACAGTGACAAAACAAAAATATCCCTTTCATGTAATCCAGCCTGTTGGCTCTCCTCTCTGAGAGCATGGATCAGCAGCTGAGCTGTAAATCAAAGCACACTTTGTTTCACTGCAACCTAGAAAGCAAGTGTGTTATTTCCATCCCTTCTTACTTTATTTTTAACGGAGTTGCATAGAGAGAGATGGTGAAGGTGTACAATGGCGGAGGACTTACTTTCAGAAAGTAAAGGAAGCTCTGGAACTTGGGGATCCTCCTCCTCTGATTCTTCCCTAAAGTATCTCTCAGGGTCTAGAAGAAAAGCAGGCTTATTCACTTCAGGCAGCTCTTTCAGGGCTCCAATGCTTAACGACCTAAATGTGCCTTAGCAATAGCAAGTTTTAGGAAAGGACAGGGGGGAAAAGGACAATAACATTAATTCTTTAAAAGGAATTTGCACATTTCCTAGTTACTTTTTTAGATTTAACCTTCCTGTTACTCTGCTGGTACAGATGCAGTGATCAACAAATCCTCCAAACACAGCTGTACAAATCCAGGGTCCTTTCTATTCAAAGAAACCCAGATGAACTCAAATCTTCCCTTTCATTTATTTTGCATTTTGTATTTTTTTCCTATTTTCTCTTGAAAATGAATATTCTGCAGTTTTGGAAAAGCTCCAGTTTCTCTTTTATCTACAAGAAAATTGTATCCTTTGTGAAATGAAATTTAACAAAACACCTAAAATCTTGAATTTGCAGGTACTTTGTCATTCCAATATAATGTAAACCAGAGCTGTGTTATGTGTATTATGCATACAATGAAATGCTGGGAATCTATTTTAATCATGCCCTTCAAAGCAAAGTCTTGAAAAAAGTGGGACAAAAAACATTTGCTTCATGTGACAAGTGGATAATGGCATAGAAATCAACAAAAGCTTAATTCAGAATATGATTTTATGGTGTTTGATTGTCAGTCCTGTGAAAGGAAGAACTGTGCCTTTGTCACTGTGGTGGCTCAGGACTTAAGAAAAGGTTCATATGCAGCACTTGCTATAGAAAAAGTTGTGTGCTGTGTCGGTGGTTCTCAAAGTCTAGCAGGCCTCAGCACTCCCTGGAGAGCTTAGTAAAACTGCTCCATACCACTCCTGATTCCTGATTTAGCATGGTAGGAAAAGAGGATGAAGGCACCAAACTTTACATTTAAATATGTTCCATAATGCTGATGTGCTAGGGTAGTGACCAGTCTTTGAGAAACAATACGCCATGTCAAGTCACAGAAGTCTTCACAGTTTGCAAGGTTTTGTTGCACCCTTGATCTAGACAAAGAAACTGAACCTTTGGATACTTCACTAAGTTGCCTGAGTTTACATAGCTGGTAAATGTCAGGCCGTAGACTTGAGTATGTTTAACTCCCAAGGTCACGGATGCTCCAGTGTATAACAATGATAGCAGCAGCAACGTTAACAAAATCATGTTTAGTTTCTGTAATAGCCAGGCACTAGCCAAAGTGCTTTATATAACAATACTCATGTAACTACTTACGTGCATTGAATGTTAACAAATTATTAATTACCTTCCGACAGCAGTTACATCGGAAATGCCACAATGTATCTGCTCTATGAAAGCACAACATCCTATTGAACATGAGTTGAAAAAGATTTGTAGCAAGAAAAATATTTCCATTAAACTATGTAGCTTCAAAAATGACTCTCATCTGTGTTTCTAATGGCCATGATTTCTTTCTGTTTACCATTTTTTAACATAAGTTTTTTCTTATGTTACCCAGCCTTGTCTCCTGGGCTCAAGTGATCTTCCCACCTCAACAACCCAAGTACTAGGACTACAGGTGCAAATCACCAAGCTGGGCTTTCAATTACTTTACTAATAATTTAGTCAGCTAATAACTAGATCAATACATTGTTATACATAGCTATGGGATTCCTAAGAACAAAAATAGTTTTATTAATCAAAAATTCTCTATTTTATTCTAATTTTTATTTAAATTAAAATTATTTTCATGGGTACACAAAATCATAAAAATTATACATACTAATGGGATACTGTATGATTTTTTGATACATATATACATTGTATAATGTGTAAATCGAACACATATAGTTACCATTTCTTTAAGGTAAAAATATTCTAAATCCTTTCTTCTTGCTTTTGAAGTATGTAGCATATTATTGTTACCTATAGTCACCTTACTATCCAATAGCCCACTAGAACTTCTTGATTCTGTCTAGCTTCAATGCAGTACCCATTTGATCAGCCTTTTCTTACACACCTTCCTCCACACCCCCAACCTCTGATAACCACCATTCTATGTCACTTCCTATGAAATCAACTTTTTCAGATTCCACATCAGTGAGCTCAAGTACTGCATGTCTTTCTGTGCCTCACATATTTAATTAATATAAAGATCTCCAGTTCAACCCATGTTGTCATCATCTTCACTTCTGAGACACTTAAGAGAAAGTATTAACATTCTGGTGCTGTCTCTGTTTTGGGAATTACAATCAGCACTTCATCCACGTTTTCTGGCTTAGACCTTACAGTTGTGTCACTTAGATACTATGCAGCCTTGGATAAGTCACTTAATAACTCCAAGCCTCACGTCCCTCCTTTATTGAATTGAGGTCTTAGAACCTTATATTATGTTTATTAAGGAATACAAATATTACTGGCATACAGAGTAATTCTTTCTCTTATTTGTACATGCCTACAAAACAATACTTACTGGTTGATTTTTGTATAATTTCTCCATAGTAAAGTTTCTGTGTTTTTTTCTTATAGATGTTTCTTCCCTTATATTTCATACCTAAATTTAAGTCTTCTGATGGTCTGACACTAGAAAAAAAATTGGCAATTTAATAAAATGTTAACTGCAAGGGTGAACTGACATTTTATGGTTAAAAGTATACACCTTATTTTTACAAAAGCATTTCTATTCCTCTGTTAAGTAGTGACATGTTTATACTAACCAAACTTATTTAAGAAATAAATATAAGTAAATTATGATTAAACAAACTTCAAATTTTATTAAGGTTTTATTAATGTTTTCCTAATGTCCTTTTCCTGTAATGTCAACATTTTGTTTAGGCATCCGAATTTTCAGTCTTCTCTGGCCTATGATTGTTTCTCACACTTTTCTTGATTATCATGTTTTGAGGAATACAGTATTAAGGAATACTTGTCAGACTTTCAGGAAAGGGCTCCTCAATTTAGGTTTGTCTGATATTTTTCTTATGTCTAGATCAGGGTTATGGTTGCTGGAGGAAGACATCAAAGGTGAAGTGCTATTCTCATCACATCCTATCAAGGATACATGCTAACAACCTGACTTACCACTGTTGATGTTCACCTTCTCTGTCAAGAATGTGTCTGTCAAGGTCACAGTAATAACAGCTTACCGTATTCATTGCAATGTTACTATTTCTCTGGAAACAAGTTTCCAAGGGTAGCCCACTCTTCTGAGGTGATGGGAAAAGAAATAAGCACATTTTCTTGAGTAGGCAGTAATGTACATAAGTTATTTAGAATTACAAACACTTTAAGGAAGGAGAGCTTTGCCATCCAAAGGGTAGGTGGGCAGTTTTTTTCCCAATCATGGCTGGATTGGCCTCCCTCACAATATGCCATCTTCTATAATTAAGACCGTATTATTTAATTATTGTGTCTGGACTTTGAAAAGAAGAATGATCATTTTGAGTAGTAAGTGAATCTAACAATACAAAGTTGATGGTGAACACTGGAAAGGTGGGCTATGATGTAGGTAGGCCTTGTGGCTAGTTTTAGGGCTAGGGATACAGCTCAGTGGTAGAGCATTTGCCTGGCATGTACAGGTCCTGGTATTTCTCCTCATCCCTGGAAAAAAACTTTCGCACCAAAAATTGTTGTTGATATAAACTGAGGTGCAAAAGGCTGAAAGACCTCTTTTTACTAATGACTTTGATTTTTCCCAAAGCATATGAACTCTTTCCTGCTTTTAAGTCATTTGCTTTTTGCCACCTCATATGGCAGTATTTAAATTAAGTATATCTTTTGTAAAACAAAATGTTTTATATACAAGTAGAGAGAAGTAGGCACGGTAAAACAATCTTCTAGGAGCTGTAACAAATTGTGCCATTTATAGATGGTTGCCTATGATACATACTTAGATTGTTAAAACTAACTAAATTGTAGAATCAACTTTATGTTCAATAGTCAACAACCTATTGCTTCCTTTCCATACACATCCGTCATTTTGGAGAGTGCTACCATGAAAACGTACCAGGAACTGGGAAGAGAAGAGTCCTAAGACAAAATGTACAGCTAAAGATAAGGAAGCAGAAGAATGAAATGAAACTTTGAATAGTTTTAAATTCTTTTGCACAAGTCCCTTAAGTGGTGGTACAGGGTGTGGAAGGGCGACTACTATGGCCTCCAGCAGCCCTGGCACCAATTCTATGAGGAGGAAAGATGCTCACTGATCTCCTTTCTCTCAGCTATGGCTAAAGAGGGGAGATATGATGACTATGATAGTACTCTAGTGTCCTACTGGGCATAAAAGGAAAGTAAAAGGGCCTAGAGTAGTGACACACACACAGCAGGTATTTCACAAAATATTGCGTGACTTGGAGATCAAAAAGTTTTCAGTGTTTTCATATGGTTCTTATTGGACAGGCCACAAATGGTAGTGGCAAAGTACTGACCCTGGAGTCAGAATGCCTTTGTTGGGGTGCCTGTTTCACCTCTTCCTGCTTGGGTGGTCTTGGGTGAGTCAATTCACTTCTCCTTGCCTCAGTTCCCCAGATGTAAAATGGGGGTAATAATAATAACTTTCTTCTAGGATAATAGTGAGAATTACATGAGTTAAATGCATGAAGACCCTAGAATAGTGCCTGTAACATAGTTGGTGATCAATAAATATTGACTACTAGTATTTTAAACAAGAATAAGACATTATTTTTTACTTGAAGCAGGGAATTCCAACATTCTGCTATCAGAAGCTCAAGAGTCTGGGAGACTATCAGAATTATCACAAGAAACAGCTGGAGAGATGGCAGAGTGATAATTTGTTGCACTAGTATTTTTAACACATAAATTTCAACAGTTAAGTAGACTTTCATATGTTTTTATTTGTCATACCTGAGCATAGGATAATTATTGCTACAGTTTCTTGGCAAAAGCCTACTGTAGCCTCCAAGAGTTTTATCATATAAGCCCTAATTTTAGATAGGATTTTTTTGTGTATTTTTTTCTTAAAGATATTTATCCACTTTTTAATTTAATTTTTACATGAAATCTACTGGCAGAGTAATTCAGTAATTAATAGCATACATCTAACTTTAAATACCCTGCCCACAATGATATGGAATTCATAGCAGTACATTACACATGTTTAAGGAAAATAAATTTGAAGTGTGTTTTCTGCCTTGTATGAAATTAATTGGAAATTTTCTGTTTTATTCTGATCTTTTCCTTTGTTCTAATAATTAAGCAACTTTTTAAATGTGATTAATTGCACACTAAACCCCATTGTTATTTGTACTTTTATTTATTTATGGAAAATCCATGTACTAATATTATTTTAGACCTAGGAGATAGATAATTAAAGATAAAAAGATCTTAAGGGATTTTGCATCTTATTCCGTTTACTAATGATATGAAATCTTAACTCTCAATACTGGCAAAATAGCAACATGAATATAATTCAAAATATTTTTCACTAATTTTTTTTCAAAATGTTTTTGAAAATTTTGGCCTAACACATTGTGATGGTGTGATGGAAAGGTTTGTCTCCATTTTTATATTTACACTTGTTTATTCTTTTGCTTTTAACATTTTTATTAGCATATAATTATTGTATAGGGGGATACACTGTGACATTTAAACATGTGCATCCTTTTCTCCTACTTTTTTTGCCCCCCAAAAGGACCTGTTTTACCTTCTGTACTTTTTATTTTAAAGTGTATATTGATACTTCAAGGGGGTTTCACCTTGGCATGTTAGACATGTATGCATCATGCTTCAATCAGATTAATCCCTCATTACTTACTTTTTCTCTATTGCCCTGCTCCCCTATTATTCAACAGCATGCAGTGTATTGTGTTATATACCTTCATACACAGATGCAATGTTTCAATACTTTTCACTCTCTAGCATTCTCTTTCCCTTTTTTTGCCTCCCATAGTCCCTCAGACAGACCCACTAATACAATCAGTTCTCTCTCCCCTTCTCCCTCTCCTTCTCCCTTTCTCACTCTCTCCCTAGATAGATAGATGATATATATATATATATTATATATATATATGATCATATATGTATTATGCATACTTTTATTTTATAGGCCTAGCTTCCACATATGAGGAAGAACATGTACCCTATGACCTTTGGAGACTGGCTTATTTCACTTAACATGATGTTCTCTGGTTCTATCCATTTACCTGAAAGCGACATAATCTCATTCTTCTTTATGGCTGAATACTACTACTTTGAGTATATATACCACATTTTCTTTATTCATTCATTAGTTGTGGGGCATCTGGACTATTTCCAAAGCTTGGCTCTTGTGAGTAGATCTGCAAGTGTGTGCAAGTGATTCTATTTTATCCTGGCACATATTCTTCAGGTATATATCCAGGAGTGTTATCACTGGATTATATTGTATCTCTATTTTTAGTTTTTCAGGAATTATGATACCTCCACCATTGCTCTTTTGGCTCAGGATTGCTTTGTCCTTTCAAGGTCTTTTGTGCTTCCATAGGAACTTTAGGATTGACTTTTCTATCTTGATGAAGAATGTTATTGGAATTTTGATAGGGATTCCATTGAACATATAGATTGCTTTTGGTAGTATAGTCATTTCATACTATTAATTCTGCTGATCAATTAGCATAGGATGTCCTTCCATCTTCTAATGTCTTCATTGACTTATTTCTCTAGTGATTTATAATTTTGATTTTATACACCTTTCACCTCCTTTGTTTGCTTCAGTCTGCTGAGCAATTTGTCTAAAAAAGTTAGAGGAGGCTTAGCTAAGGAGATTTAATCTTCTTGTTCATTTGCACTTCCAAAGTTTCTCACAGTAAAAATGCATTGTTTTTACAAAAAATACTTGAAGGATATGCCGTCTGAAATATTCATCTCATGTATAATTTCTCAATTAGAATAATTTGGTGTAAGTAAAGAAAGCAAATATTGCTAAAAATGAAGAAAAATGCATATCCACTGTGGGTTTTGTTTTCTATTTTATCTCTTTATTCATTTCCTCGTTTTTTTCAATTTCTAATGGTAATATGAATTTTTCAGAATCTAATGAAGGGAAAATCCATTTTCTGTGTCAATTTAGCGGATAGACTTCCTATTAGTCTTTTAAACTCTGGATGCATCTTCATCTCTCCAGGACTGAAATTGTAAGTAACTCTTTAGCACCTACCTACTTCACATACACATAAATACTTTAAGTGATATGGAAACCAAATATTTATATATAAGGTAGAAGATAATATACACCAACATGTTTTTCCTGGAAACAGAATCTTAAGCACTCAGATGAGACTATAGCTTAAATCATTTAACTTTTTCCTTCACGTTCCTTGCTTGTTCCATTTTCTATATCCTTTTATTTTTGGCTTTCCTATCTTTCTTAACATACTCCAGCTGCATTAATACACACCTACAAAAATATGTCTTTACTTCTTAGTTTCTCTATGTTTTCACACAAACTGCTTTTTAAATTATTTATTTTAATCATACATTAATAATGAAAGGACTTCGTTGTGACAATTCCATACATGCAGACAATGTACTTTGATCAAGTTCACCCTCCATTGTATTTCCATTCCCCTCCTGTTCAAACATGTTTT